AAAGTGTCTTTTCTTAATCGCACTATATTTTCCATTACCTAGTACCTTGCATTCTTTCAGAGTAAACATTGCTTCCCAGGTTTTATTTCTTTGAGAGTCCTCATGTAGTTTATTTATTTTACATATTATTTTCTCCACCTATCTTTTACCAATCCATCTAAAACACTGACATGGTGTGAGGGTCCTAGAATTTTTTTCAGATTTCTGATACTGAGAGGTTGTAACTAGGTCCTTCTGGTCCAGCATATGACTGATGATTTCTCTAGTATGGAATTTAATTTAATTTAACAAAACATGGCTAAAAGTAGTGTGCAATATTATTAGCTATTTATGTGAAATCTCTTCCTTTTATTTTTGCAAAACCAGATCAAAAGAAGCCAAAAGTTCTGCTCATATTTTTTATTTTCTATAAGTCAAATAGTTGGCTATTGGCTTGGTAGAGAGATCAAACATGAAGGAATACTCCTGGCTCTTCTGTCCTTTATTAAATCCTTCCACAAGAAGGAAAGAAGTGTTGTTTTGATTCATCAACACTTGAAAATCTTTGGCACATTTTTATTTATGAGTATTAATAACATGTCATCTAGGCACCATTTTTGGGTACTTTCTATGAGGCAAGAACTGTGCTAAGTAATTGACATGTACTATATCATTTTATCCCTATGAAAACACTATGAGTAGTCCTTCCATCCCAGTTTGATAGATCAAGAAACAAAACAGAGGAAAGTGAATTCTCAATTGGCTATTAAAGGCCAAGCTGTGACATGAAACTCATGATTTTCTATTTCTGTCAGTAAAATTATACAAATTAAGGAAAAATGTCTTCTTTAGATGATTAATTTTTAACATTAGGAACAGACTATTTTCTATTTCTATTTCAAAATATTGCTAAACTTCTTTCTACCAATTACATTGTCCCTTATTATCATCAGTGTGATAGTCAAAACTACTTTGTGAAGTTAACCAACATGCAGTATTTATGAAATTTATTAAATAAATCCAGAGGGATAAGAATTCCTAAGAGTATAGAGCACATCTCATATTTCTGCATTTCTGATCCACTAATTTGTTACTATGGTTAGTTCTTTGGGAATGGTACATTTTACTCGAACATAGAAAAATCCTGTGGCTAGATTCCTATTTTCATTTCTCTCTAGACTAGCTAATAAATAGTAGGTGGATTTTTACTCAATGAAGAAGATATTTTAAAAAATCACAGGAAAGAGAGTGGGCTTGTATACAGATAAAGAAGTATGAATGTATTGTGTGTACTTGATCCTTTAAGAAATGTTTGAAATAATTCTATTGATTATAATTTCACTGCCTAAAAGAAAATGAATTTTTAAGGCCAGGAAAAAGGCAGTGTTGAAGTATGATAAGAGATCTTGGAACCCACAGCTCCACAGTGATAAAACTCAGTTTATTAGGTCATTGCGTATAGGCCCCTTATCATGCCCTTCTTGGCCACTCAAACCACTTGCTATTCATGTGGATACAAGGGAGAGGGTGCTTGGTTTTCTTTTGTCCCAATGACTCAAGCTGAAAATGTTCAACTTGATGTTATTCAATGCATACTGTGTACAAATAACATTTTTGGGGAGCATTTATAAAACAACAACTTTGCATTCACTTGTGTGCTTTTTGTGAGGAACTGGATTTTCAGTGAATCAGAAAAGGTCTAGATTCCTATTTTTAAACCAATACTGTTTTTATGATGTTATTGTAAAAATGTTTTCCTTATATTCCTATAAAATATGACTATTCATGGTCACAAAGGACTCAGCCAACTGTGACTACATCTTAGTAGATCTCAATGAATACAAATGTGCTATGATGGAATAACAAGGACAGAATCCATGCACAGTGAAAAGGGAAAGCTAATGGGAAATATTACTATTCTGAAAAGTTGCCAAGAAACTGATCTTATCAAATTAAACCTGTGCCTTTGAAGCCTGAGCAGATAAGAGCAAACAGTTTGTGATTTAATGCTGTTCTCCTGCTTTGTATTTTTCTCATTGAAATTTCTATGCAGCACTATTCACAATAGCCGACCTGTGGAATTCGCCTAAGTGCATAGGTATGTGCACTTAGGAGTATTATTCAGCCATTAAAAAGAATGAAATTATGTTGCCTGCAGGAAAATGGAAGGAACTGAGGAAAATAAACCAAGATCAAAATGCCAAATACAATGTTTTCACCTATGTGAAAATCTAGACCAAAAATGAAGACAACAATGTTGATGATGATAGGACATGAGTGTGAAAGGGGGACTGTTTGAGGGAAATTAGTGTGGGGGGAGAGGGTACTGGGATTTGAAGAGGATGTAAGTACATTATATATATAGTGATATTGTTGTAAAAATGTTTTATTCTTATAAAAATATGACCACGTCATTATCTATCTATTTATCTATTTGAACATAGCATAATGAAACCCATCAAATACTGTTTGAAAAATGGTAGAGGAGGGATGTACTAAGGGAATATAATGGAGGGGGGGATTTGTTTAAAGTATACTGTATGTATCTATGGAATTATTACAACAAAACTCCCTTGTACTATTAATGCTGTTAATTATATATATATAAATGTATGTATAATTATATATGACATGTACTATATATAATTATATATATATATACTTTCATTTCTAGTAAATAGAAAAATCTGAACTTTTTGTATTTTAGTGTTTTTGAAATATATTTCAGGAGGATTATGAATTTTCATTATCATTATTTTCAAATAGAACTGAATACTGTCACACTTGGGCTGTCCTTGTAATAGAACTACTTTGTAGGTTAAATTAACAAGTTGTCCTTGATTGTTACTTAAGAACATTTGAAATAACTTGTATAGGGGCCTTTCAGAGCTGGGCAGAGAGAGCTCAAACCATCAGATTTCAGACCTAAGTTTTGAGAAGGTGCCAGGTATTTGGTGGGATGACTGGCATTTAGAAACCCTGGATAATCACTATTCGTCATTTACAACATAACATAGTCACATTTTCTTATCTGACTTCCTAGGCAGACTATGAGGTTTCATATCCTGGGTATGTGGTACTTTGTACATATCTCACTACTTAGCCAAAATGACTGCAATGCAGATTTATTATATCATTTCTTATGCCTACCTTACTGTTAAGATTTATGCTTTATTTGCCTTTGTGCCCCCAGTGTCTGATTACTTTATGCATGCATACAAGTATTAGGTGAATGAGTTAACTAATCTTTTGGAAAATTATGCACCAAAATCCCTATAGCTGTAGGTAGGTTTTATTGTTTAAGATATTATTTTGAAAAGTAAAGACATTAAACTGTTTGTTAGTTACCTAGAAAAATCTTCAGGTTGTACCTGGAAATCCCCATTGAAATATCTACATGTCAATCAAATTACTAGGTAAGGTTATACATATTTCAGGTTCAAAAGTTTAAAAAAGAAATTTTCTTACTTTTTTCTTCCTCTTTTAAGCATGTATACATTTCTTTACTTCTAAGTTGTTACACAAGCATATCAAGTATCTATTGACTATCTAGATTTTCTAAAATTTAAACAGTGCTCTATCTTATTGGGAGAGATATGACTTTGGAATATGATGACACTAGATGATTTAAACTGTAGTCTGAAGGGACTACAATTTATAGCCATTCAAGTAAGAACCTACTAAATATATTTTATAAAGTCATGAGTAATCAATGAATGACTTCATTTGGTAACTATAATTTCTTCTTAATGAAATATTTATCTACTTCAATATAAGTAGAAAATAGCCAGAAAATTGGGTGATATAAAGAAAGAAGAGTTGATAGACATTACTGTCCATCTAGTAACAGATGGTCAATATCCACTTGTGGAATAAATGAAAATTTTATATTATCTCATGGGAAAGGATGAGGAGAGATAACAAAGATGGCAGGCCTCTATACTGCAGGTTTAGAATATAATAGCAGAGATAAAAGGTAAAAATGCCTTCAATATATATCAGTTCAAAATAAGTGCCACCAGAGCAATATAACTGAAGAGTTATAATAAAAAAAACCTCATTACCAAAAAACCCACACATGTATAGAGAATAACATAAGGTAAGATCCTATTCTTTAGGACCATTTTTGGCCAAACTTTTCATATATATATTTATTTCCAAAAAGCTATATGGAAGTAAGACGTGTAAAAAGAGACTACTGTTGTTTGTGAACCAGAGGAGAGGTGAAAATGGCTGTGGTGAATAAGTGAGTGGAGTAAATGGACAGGGAAAGTTAAAAACAATTTTCCTCTGTTAAAACCACTGACTAAGTTTGAATTAATTAGCAAGGATCCTGTCCTTCCCCATATTATAATTCCATACTGAAAAAGATTAATTTGAAACTGGAAAGGGAAGAGCACAGACTTCCAATTAAATTCATTCACTTTTGCAATAGGGCCACAGGCTTTACTATGCAGACACAGTATATACATTTTAACTGTTTGTGACTAGGTTACTGTCCTGGCCATGAATGGATAAACAAGAGTCAAAAATAAAATAAAATCCTAGAATCCTAGGTACATGGAAACTATAGGTCCATTTTTGCATTAAAAGATTACAAAAACTGAGATGAGATTTTCCCCATAAATGTCTATCTAAAGATTTTTTAAATCCCTGAGAATTAAAGAGATAATTTTATTTCAAAGAAGTCATACTAACTGTACAAATGCATTAAAAATAATAAAACCCTTGACTTATTTTAATTTGGCAACATATAACATATCAGAAATACATGTGATACTAAGAAACCATTCTGAATTAAAATGCTACCTATTCTTCTTGCTTATCTTTGGAAAATCTAGAATAATTCTAATGTCATATCTCATATTGTTGATATTCCACTTAGAATCACACAATAAACACAGATTAATTGTAAAGATTCAAAAGCAATCAATTTTTAGGACCCCAAAGTCTATGAATAGGAATAGAGAGTCCTATGCCAGACATATATTCTCATACAAATGTAAGAGAAGAAATCTTACCATAAGTTGGGGTGCTTTCTCGTCTTCCTTGACTACTTGATCTTCCCTTTTCATATTCATAGCAATATAAGACAGTATCTTCTTCAACAATGTTGAACCTCTTTCGATATTCCTGATCCAGAAATGAATTTGGTGATTCAGATCCCTTATGCACTGGCTTGCCCACCATATGTCCTCTGAGGTCTTCACAAGGAAGGTTTCCTTTTTCATCCCTAGAGAAAAGTTAAGGTAAAGGAGAAGGATGCAGGAAAGTTTTAGGGAGGTTAAATGGCAGAGCATTTAAAATATTAATAATATTACTCCCACAAAATATTTCTCCCAGTTTTTCTAAACTTTCTTTGAGAATTATAGGGAAATTTAAAATTATTTTTGTTTTTCCAAATATAAAAAAGAAATGCTGAGGCTCAGGGAGCTTAAATGACTTGCCTCAATGTCACACAGTTAATAAATGTCAGAGCTACAAATATGCCAGGTCTTCTAGCTCCTGCTCTAATCCATTTTTCACTGCATCATATCATACAAAAGAATCATTTTACAAATAATCTACTTCTAGTATTCAAGATACTAGGTATAATGCTAATGATGTTAGTTTAACCATATGGCTAATTGATACTTGAAAAACAGAAACATGTGTAAAGTCTATCACCCACAAAAAGGGGTACTGTGGCCTTAGGAACCAACTTAGCACTATATAAACTGATACTGTAAGAACTTTAAACTACATGTTATTAATTTAAAAGATTCTTAATAAAGAAAAGTATTTTCATTATTCAAGCTCTAGCTCATTTAAGAGTAAAAAGACACATTATAGAACTATTTCAAAATGGATACATCAAAATTTTATTACACATCAGCAATTTTTTTGAGACAAGGTGATTTATGGGATTCCTGAAACCTATTACTTATATAGTGATAGGTGATTGGACATGCCACTCAATGGTGTTCCATTTAGGATTGGTGAAATGGAACCTTGTTTATCTTATGAAATGTTTTACTGATTACCTATGAAAATTTTCTTAGAAAAGCTTGTCTTCTAGTACATGACTATGAATGTAAATGAAATGTTTCTTCCTTTATTGATCATTAGTTATATTTTTTCCTAGTTCTTAATTGTTTCCAGTTACCCTAAATAGTGGCATGAATCAGTTCTTCTAAACTAGAAAAAATTAATTTTATGTTCTGCTGTGATTAAAATATTAAATATACAGAATAAACTGAATTATACTTTAATTCAGTACCTTTATACCTTATGAGCTTATAAAAGTTATGCTAGTTCCAAAATATGAGTCTCATTCCAGCAAAAATCTGTATTTCTGTAACTATATGTCCAAATACAGTGAACTATATTTCCAGTATTTTAAATATGTAGAAAGTAATACTCTCAAGACTACCTGAATCAGAAAGTTGTCTTATCAATTTAATGTATCACAAGTTGAGGTTTCCATTTACTCTTTTACTTTCTAAAATGAAAGTATTGCTTATACAGCCAGTTCTTAGGTAACATGAAGAAAATAAACATGAAATTCAGGTAGGATTTTATTTTCAGTTCGCTAAAAGCTTTGCCCAAGCAAATTGCCTGCTACTTTTTTCTTACTATTAGTACTGCATCAAAAAGAAATTAACACTACAATTAGCTTGGAAACAGTCCTAACAAATTCATGGCACAGTAGTAAGGTTATGCCTGTCTGTAAATGGCGGACTTCTATATGAGGCTCATGACATGAATGCTAATGCAGCTGAGATCAGAGGGTGATTCAGACATGTTAATTCACCATACTATATTTATATGCACACACTCTGTGGCAGAAAATTGAAAGGGCTGGTATTTCCTAATCTATAATGATATGAAGAAGCAGCAGGACAGATTTATTAAATATGCCCATAATGAATACACTAAAATAATGTTAAATTAAGAAAAGTACAAAGCAAAACTAAACATAAGAGTGTTTGTATATGTATATACATATACATATGTGTGTGCATATGTACATGTATGTATTCATATCATGAATCCCTAAGGAACTCAATGCATCAATGCGCTGTGAAACTTTACAGATTGCAACAACTGTAAAGTTATACATTTATACAAATATGTAGTAAATCTACCTTTATTCTACAAAGGATTAAATGAGCACTGCTTTAGTGGACTACCTTTATATTTAATAACATATAGTAGAGTTAGAGAAATTAGTAATTAAACTTCATAATTAATCAAAGACCTGTAAATTCTTCATTTTCATTACAGAAAAAGAAATCTGGTTAAGTATAAATTATACTATTATCTATATGTATATATTATAGTCATAAGTCATATAATAAAATTCCAACCAAATTTAATATACTTCACATACATGAATGCTTTCTCTTTAGAGAAAAGGCATTTTACAGTTATTTTTTCTCAAATAAATGCCTTCAAAGAATCACATAAAAATTCTATTCAGCTTGACAACTAGTACTATGATTTTTGTCCTTTTGTAAGATGAGAAAACCTTTATTATTTATAATCCAAATTAAACCATATAATTTACATATGTTTATATACCACCAAATTCCTGTCCTGCATAGTTTTTAAAATACTGGTAAAAATAAATGTTCAGAAGAGTTAAATTAGGTCAACCACATGCATGCTTAAAGTGACAGAATGGAAAAAAATTGCCAGGGCTATATATATTCCTTGTCTAATTTGACAAGGAAAACTGAAATAAGCTTTATAATTTCAATCAAGCCCAAAATGCAAATAATTTATATAAGGTTGTGGTTCAAAGGGGCTTTGATGCATGGATTGTTGTGATTGCTGTAAATATAGACTATATGACTATGTAACTAATAATTTGACTCAAATATACTTAGAATATTCTATTCAATTATATTCTAACTAAAATGAATTAAAGTGAAGCAGTAAATATAACTTAGGAATGTTACTAAAAGGTATGGAGCTTTCAAACCATACTGACAAAACAAGGATCATCAGATTGACATGTCAACTTCATACATTCTCTAGTATTTTTTCTTCTTTTTTGGGGGGTGGTACTGGTACTGGGGTTTGAAATTAGCAAGTGTTTTACCACTTTGGCCACACCCCCAGCCTTTTTCTGCTTTAGGTTATTTTTTAGATAGGGTCTCTCTTTTTGCTCAGAGTTGGCGTTGAATTGTGATCCTCAGACCTATGCCTTCCAGACTAGGATGACAGGTATGTGCCACCACACTTGGCTTATTCTGTTGAAATGTGAATCTCAGCAACTTTTGCCAGAACTGGCCTTGAACCATGATCTTCTCAATTTCTGCCTCCCGAGTAGTTAGGATACAGGTTTGAGCCATTCTGCCTGGGCTCTATTATCTTTATGTATAGCATGTTCAAACTTTTTATGGACTTCAGTACTTTGCCTTAATAATAGCTTCATCAAACTCAGAATATAGGACTGGATCACTTTATTCTTTTGTTCCTCTGAAATGTATTTAAAATACTTTTTGTCCAGGAGATAAATTCTTTATAAACACGCTCCTCCCTATCCAAGAGAAAAGGAAAGAATGTAAAAAAATGCAGAGATTTGATAAATAAATCTTTTGATGTTTATCTGTTCATGTAGTTCTTTGAAAAATAAGGCTTCTTAAATAACTGAAATAAAAATGTTCCCTATTATAATGAAAATAAAAAACCACAAAAGAGTCAGTTCCTATTTGGAACACACAATTTCATGTGTTTTACTCTTGCTTCTCATGCAAGAGTATTCAGAAAGTGAGACACTGTCTTAGAATTAAAATACAACTTATGTTTTTACTAGGAACTTAGAAGGATTTGTACATCTGATTGTAAATTGAACATAAGACTGCAATTTACATATTAGAAAGGCTTATGAAACGAAAGCTTAGTAAATCATATTTCCTAATAATCCATTCTCCCACAACTACATTTAATTCTCAAAAATAAGAACTAAAATGTATATAAATCTGTAAAGATTTATTACTAGATGACAACGGAGTACTAAAGTAAAGAATAATGAAAAACAAGGAATTCTATTGCTTTGTATGCTGAAGACATTTAGTATTTAGCATGGCTTGAAAACAAGAAACCTTAAATTATTGTTTATGAATTTAGAAATAATTTAAAAACCAAATCAAGTTTTTTGTGATTGGTATTAATAATCCCCATTTGTTTCAGGCCCTTTTCAATAATTTTGTTGTCTACAAGGCTGGATATCAGAATGCTTTTGGACAGAATATATTAAGGCAAAAAGCTGTATTTTTCATACCTGCCAGGAATTTCTAATAAGAATCTGGAAACTAAATGAAGACATACCCTTAAGAAATCTAGAAAACTGATTTGAAATGTAATCCATTATCTTGTAAACTCTATTTCCTAAAAATTTAATGAACAAATAAAGTAAAAAAAAAAAACAAAGCTCAAGAATATTGAGGTATTGGGGAGAATGCTTTTGCTGTTCCATTTCATCCTCCTCATGAAAAAATTCTCTCATTACCTACATTTTCCTTTTTTTATTAGCACATTCTCATTATACAAAGGGGTTTCTCATCACCTACATTTAAAAAGCATAAAAGTTATCTAGAAACATTCTCCTTTAAAAATGTATGAAATGCCTCAGACTAATCTGAGATTTTCTGGGGTTTCTTATCAAAAGAGCCTCACTTATTATTACTTACTAAAGTAATACTAGTTGTTATTTAATATCACTTTCCTTTTATATGAAATGTATGTAAGATATTTAATGCATAGTAAATAAATGTTTAATACAAATTAGTTATTGTTGTCATTATAACAAATTGTCACTCTAATGGGGATGGTTTTCCAGGATGTGTTCATAAATACTGAGAAAATAATCAAGGTGTTTCTCAAGAGTTGACTTAAAGTTCATGATGTACTATTAGGTTAGTCTTTGACTAGAAGCTGCCCAGAACAACATTACGGTTAGTTTTATACCTGGGAATATATGGTTCTGCAGGAGGAGGGGGGATGTAGAGGTCCTGGAGGGCAGAGCTGTCTCTTTTGGTGGGTGTACTGATGGTGCTGGAAGGTGTAGCAACGCTGCTTGTGGGACTTCTAGGTATAAGAGGCTGGTTAAAATGAAAAAGAAAATACATACGCACACAAACAACACAAAACAACAACAACGACACATAGTTATCATTTTAAAATTATCTATTTCTGCAAAGTTTTGAATTTGGCTGAAATCAAGAAGGAAGTTATTTAGCACATGGACATTCCTTTAGATCATTGAAAACAAATAACATGTATTAGAAGTTTCCACTTCATTACTCACCTTTTTCTTTGGTCTAACTCCCTAAAAGCTGTTTATAAAGTAAAAAATAACGTTGTGCTTTATAATGAGAACTTTTATCTCATGATGAGAAAGTTATTTAAATTAACTTTGTAGAACTCCAGCTTTGAAAGATAAGAAAGAGCAACTCATAAAAGAATTAGCTTACTCATGTCCTGCTTGATATATGAGAAAGTTACTTCAGATTATCTTCTCCAAAAAACAAACCATGCTCCTAGGTTAGCAAAATGTCAGATTTTTGGAAAAGATAACAAAAATGGAGTATATGAGGTCAGTCAATATGAGAGAGTATTTTCTTAGAAAATATACTTTTTTTTCTGTCACAGCTAGCTGTCTCCTCAAAGCCATTTTATGGTACATCTTCAAAAGCATGGTGGTGATTAATGTGACATTTCATCATTCATAGACACATACACTTATCTGTCATTAAAAATAATTTTTAGTTACATAGCTATAGAGCTCACTTTCATGCTTGTACTTAGTACTGAATAGGAGTTTACTTTTTAAAGATACCATGTATACTGAATCAAGCAGTACATCAGGATGTTAACTTAAGAACACTCCTAATTCCAAGCTTTACAGCATTTGAAAATAGTCCTGAGGTTTGAGAAATTATTCTAAAGTAAAACTAAAATTCACAAAGTTTTATGTTTATCGTACAGATCTTACTGATTAACTATACATACAATTACCATATTAAAAGGAAGAACTTCAGTGAAATTTCAAACACAAAAAGAATGATCACATGATGAGATGCTGCCATTTTAGTCAGTATGAGAACACTTTCAGCATATCTAGATAGAGCCACAGTTCTATTACTTTAACACACATTGCTAGACACCCAAGTAAATGCATATTACAACTACTTTATAGTATGACAGTATTTTTTACAGATAAACAAATTTGTTCAAAAGTCAAGCATAAATACAATGGAAAGTACAATGTAGGTCATTGGGGGTAGGCTACATAGTTCAGAACTCAGTTCATGATTTTGACTTCCTTGTTATACAGCTCACCTTAATAGCTTGAAATCAACATCCTGCTAAAATGATGGTTAAATTTTAATCTGTGTGAAATAGAAATTGAAGAGAGAGAGAAGGGGAAAAAAGGAGTGATAATGTATTTGGGGGCTTTACAATAGCCCAGCTTCTATAGAGTTTAAAAATGTCAGAAGCTTTATACGCTTATTTAAGAATTTTAAGATGTTATGAAAGTATGAGGTAAATACTTCTATGCTTAACAATGTTTATTTTTGAAATAATGTCTAGTTAAACTATTCCTGTCCTTTAAAAACAAATCTTTTGGTAACTGGATAGCCTGATGATATAGGTAATCAGGAGTCACTTATACTGATGAATACCATGAAGCCCACGGAAATAAATGACTACTTTCTAAGGATGTATTTCATGCTTCTACAACAGATATTTGGAAGACAGATTCAGTGACTATTTACAGTTGTTTAACCATGTCAGGAAATTGTGACTCTAAATACTTATTACACTAAACAGTAAGTTGGACCAAGATCCATCACGATAAAAATGAAGGAAAAATTTATTATATAGTATATCAATTCCCAACACTTTTAAACTTAATGCACTACGAGAAAAACTAATATCTAATATGCTTTTCTAATACTCTAGTAGTTATCTTTCTTTAAAATACCCCAACACTACAAGTGAATTTAAAATTAAGTTCTTAAACCATAAGCTTTTGAAAGTAATCTATCTTAAACTTTTATTGTGTTTCTTCTATTTTAGAGTCACAATTTCTACTTTGAAGACTTTTCTCCTTTACTTTTACCATCTCTAGAGTTAAAGATTATTTTTCTTGTTTGGAACCCACTTTTTCCACATCAAAGCAAAAGGAAAGAAGGAAGGAAAAAAGGAGCAGTAGTCCATGTTTACAGCATATTTAAATGGGCTATAAGTACGAGGTAAAGATTAAAATAACATTTTATTCTTTCTAGAATATTACCAGGAGATTGTCTACCTAGGGTACCTGTATCTTTCCTGTATTAGCCACATCAACTTCTCTAGGTTTCTATTTTCAGCAAGGAGTTGCTATTAATGTCTTCAGTTAATGTGATTAGTTAAAATGACAAATACATAAAGGAAAAATACTTAAAAAGTGTTTAAATAGACATCAGGTTTGATTATGTCATGCTGGCTCAATTAATTGAACTAGTTAAAAAACAACTTATTCTTACAGAGAAAAAAGGAATTAGTCAATCCCATTTTTTAAACTTAACTCCAGTATTTTTTTTGTCTACTAATTGTGGTATTATTGCCAAACTAATCAAAGCTAGAAAGTAAATATTATATTTGAGACTAACATTTTAAAATCCAATTTTGACATGAAACAATGGAAAAATAAACTGTGGTAAAATAGAAGCTTCCTGGGAAAATGAAAATAGCTACTTAACCCAAAAGGAGGTGTTTGTGAAGATTAAAATTATAATCTCTTAATTTTTTCAACTTTGGACAAGAATTGAAATAATGCAAAAACAAATGACTATAAGAATAAAAAAAAACTTCAGAAAGACAAGTGAAAGTTGACTAAATCAAGCACAGAATAAATGATGCAATTAGCTGAAATTATCAATGAGAAATTCCTAGTTATAACAAGTGCCATTAAAAATACACCTACTGCCAATAACTATTTGTATGACAATAAACAGAAAATTGCAAATTTAGCTTCCCTTAATTAAAAAATGGAGTTCTCTTAGCATTCACTTCGCAGTTTAATAGGCATATTCCTTAGAATAAAAAATCTAAATAAGAGCGTGTAATACTACAAAAAGATAGTATATCTTATCCAGTAACAGTTAGTTTTAATCATAACATATTTATAAGAAAAGTAGTTACCACTATACTATAAAGGATTCTCAATTTAAGAAAAACTGAGTAGGAATAAAGGGCAATATTCTTTTCTTTTACCTTTTGACATTCTAATCTCTTATAATGGTAAAACTTGTATGGGAAGAGAATTATGAACTATCCATATTTATGGATAAGAGTATTACTTTTAACATTGCATAGTCAAGTAAGCATAAAGCTTCAATATAACTGGCTTGATTCACTACGGTATACAATCAAGACCTATATGAATCTCATTCAAAGGGGTTTATTTCTTGGAAGGACCTTGTCATAAAACTTAGTTTTAATTTCTAGATGGCCCTTTTGACATAAAGCTCTCCTTCCATATATTCAGTAAGTCTCCATCAGGGAAAACACGTTTGCATGTATTTTGTTACTCTTGTAAACGCATCTGATAGACTTCTGGGGGTCACTGGCATTTATCTCTATAAATGTTCAAGCTCTAAATAAAATTACCATATGCATCTTTTCCAGCACACATTTAAAACCGAAGGTCAATTAGTAATAATACTGTCATCAAGACTCAGAAATCTTCTAGGTAAAACTTGCACATACGTTTTGTAGTGTTTGCTTGAACTATTTACATACTTTAAATCTGTACTCTAAAATATGGTATGGCACGAATCTTCCTCTGAACAACAACAACCTATTTATCCAGCTTAAACATCACTGGAAGATCGATTTTTGAAAAATAAAGCTTTTTAGCTTTTATTTATTTATTTTTATTTCTTTTATTCATATGTACATACAATGTTTGGGTCATTTCTCCCCCGCTTTTAGCTTTTATAAGGGATCGATGAGACCTTGCTTTAAATGTTGATGGCTCAGGCCTTTTCTTCTTTGTGCCCTTCAATGCTAACATTACTAAAGTAACTGGGAATATCTAGAAAGTATTGGTGTATTTCTGGAACTCCTATGGTTTTAATGCCTATGAAAAAAGAAACTATATTTGACGTCGAGATTTCACCAGAAATATTTTACAGTTTAACATTTTGGCAAGTACATCTTAATTTAGTTGTCCCTCTGTCTAGTAAGTGACTCAGCTTTGATTAAGATATAAAAGTCTTTAATAAAACCAATGACATAATGTTTAAAGTCCCAACATTAAACATAAAATACTGCATTATGTAGGTATCTCTAAATTTACGAATGTAAATTGTGCACAGAGCTTAGTTTTGCCTTCCAGGGGGAGAATACCAACTGAAATACAAATGATTACATCAAGTATAATACCTGGCCATTTATTTTATTTATTCTTGGGAATGAGCACAGACTCCAGTGGATCACAATATCCCAATATTCTAGCACAGAACACAAATACAAGTCCTTACTAAGTTCGGACGCATTCTTGTTATAATTCCCAATACTAGTATCATTTAGTATCAGAATATTGTTTCATGTTAACAACTCTTTCCTTTATCATCTAAACAAATTCGTCAGAGAAAATGTATCCTGGATTCAGGGAGGCAAGAATTTACATACAATTTTGTAAGTCTTTTGACCATGTAAAGAATGTTATATATAATCTGGAAAATTATTGAGCAGACTTTTTCCTGGCCAAGCTTTTCTTAAGCAGTAAATTATTTTAAAAGAATTTAAGCAAGGGAAATTGCATGTATTCAAAATTTCTCCACTCTCAGTTGTTTCACAGCTTCTACAAAATCCTAGTTTATAAATATAAAACGTTTGAGTCTTCTTTTATGAGAATGTAAATTTTCTTTTATTAGATTGTAAAGAAAACAGGTATTTCTTCTGACCATGGATTTGATCAGTAAACCTTATCTGCCTAAATTTTTAAAATACAGATATATGGGCATAAAGTACGTATGTAATTAACACGACATGTAACTAATATAGATTTCAGAGTCACACTACAAAATAGCTTTATCCCACCAAGCGATGAACTTTTGCACATTATACTGAGGTTAATACTACTGTACTTAATCTTATGTTGTACAATCTTATGGGAACAACCAAACTGAGCATTAAAACTAAACTTCCATTTTTCAAATTATAGTAACCATCATTCTTGGGATATTAACTAAAGAAATAATGGCTAACTTTGCATTATAAGTGATTACTTGTAGTCTGTGTTAATACTGTAAAATAATTTGTTTTTTTCATTTATTTATTTATTTTTATTATCCTATGAAAGCATTTGCCTCAAAAACACAAATATGACTTAGATCCTTAAATTTATTTGCTTAAACATTGGTAAACTAAAATATGATGTGATAATTGCTTGTAGCTATTTACTAATTTGAGCATGTAGAACATTATATTGCTACTGTCTCCCAGTCAGCACAAATCCTCATTTTAGAAAAACATATTTTCTTTTCTAGTGTCATATCTAATTTAGTTTTTCTCTTCAAAATGTTCTTTTAAAAGAAAACTCTCAGAAACATACAAACTCTGTCACTAATTTTTTTTTGGTCACACCAACATATAACGTGGATATTGAAATAAAATTGTTAGTACTTCTGTTTTGACTTTTACAGAATGACTTTAACCATTCATATCTGTATATGCTTGAAATCTAACATAATCAACCTTCTACAGTTGTTACACCAGTTGATAGACAAAATTGACTGATATGACTTTTCTATCTCATTTCTGCTCAGAGTTGTTTAAATATCCTGTAAAAGTAGCATGAAGGCAATGCTAAACAATAAAATTTAAATGGAAAAGCACAAAATAACACAAGTAGCGATGGCATCAATATAAGAAAGTTGTGGATAAGAATACAATTTAGGAATATAACTTTAATCATACAGCATGTTATTTTATATAAAAATATCTTAACAATATCTAAACCAGTTTGTTCAATTCCAGCATTGATTTAGTAATCATTTCTGAAATGCATTCTTCCTATGTTTTTAAAAAATCATTGATTCCCAGTGATGATTTTAAGGAAATTTCTTGGCAGTGTCAAACTTATTCTCCCACATATCTCTTGTAATAAGGAAATGACACTCCATGTATTCTTATGGTCTATATACACTAACTTAAAACCACAAACATCCGAAAATATAACTTGAGGTTTATTCAAAGTTCCCTGGGATCTATTTCATCTGATTAGAAGAACTTGACCATAAGCAATCACCAAGCTTATCCCAATCAAGGAAAATAGCAGAGGGTGCCATTAAGGAGATGTTTTGGAAAACAGCTCTCAGAAAGCAAGAAATCCCTGGTTTACCTTCTTAGAATAGATTCTAGCAAAGTAAGACATCTTTGCTATTTATGAAAGTGTGTATTTGACAACAGAATTTAATCTTTCTGATGTAATTAAATCTGATTTTAGTATTTGACATAGGTTCTCTTAGTCTTTTATTTCTATTGCAAAATGTTTGAGAAATCAGGAATTTATCAAAAGAGCTATCAAATTTCATGAAATGTGCTGATGAAATTACTCTGAGCATGAGGTTGAATTGTATGCTTTTGTTTTTTTGGCTATAATTTCAAAAGAAATTCAAAATCAAAACTCATCATTGCATTCAATTAATATTGGAACTCACTATTCATTTAAACATTTTAGAAATAAAACTTCTACTTTATTAAAACATAGTATTCTTCAATAATGTTTTACTTTAGACTACCTAAGATTATGTTTTATTTCCTTATTAGTTTAAAAATCATTATTTTTTTAAAGATGCATGTACTAGTGTCTATCTCCATACTACACAAATTTTTCTATATTTTATCTGAAGATGCTAATAGATAAATTTAAGCCTGGTATAGTATAAAATATGAAACAGACATTTGAGTTAAATGAATGCCAGATTTTTTGAAGCCTCTAAATTAAATAATTCCTAGTACACTAGTGGTACCACATGATAACAGAAATAACATAATACACAATTCTTCAAGTTTGAATGTTGAAGATTTACTTTTAGGTGAACTAATGGGTGTTTGGTTCCAATCTATTTGTACACATACCACAAGCAAGAATGCCTAGAGGATTGCTAAATTTAGCACTTTTGTTTCACATCTGTGGTTGTTTCTTAGGCACTAGGAAGAAAAAAATGTGACCTCAGACAAAGTCATTAAAGAATCCACAACTGCCTTCAAGACCATCTCATCCCACTATTTGAGTTTTTGCTTTCTGGGGCAAAAAGTCCAGATCCTGGTATCCTTAGGTTTTTGTTCAAATTTGTTTATATAAAAATCTACAGTATATAAAAATTCTGATTAGACAGTTTCAATTATGCCTCCTGGTTTCAGCATTGTAGTATAGGCCAAAGCCTTAAGATCAAGGAAGAACTCTATAGTGGTACCATTTCAGGTCTTCAAAATAGGTTGCAGGGATATTTGGTGTTGGTGATGGTACAGAACTTATTCAAGTTCTTACTCCTTGTTTTAGCACCACTAATTAATTAACATTAAAATTCTTCCCTCTGCTCTGCAAAATGTCAACCATGGAAGCAATTTTCAAAGATGTTAAAGACAGTGTTATATCCTTAATAGTTTTGCTTATCTACAGATCTAAATTGTCCTTGGCCAATATAATTTGGGTAAACCAAGTTCAATTAAAATAACATATTAAAAATGTTAATTCATATATAATTACTTACATAAATTGTTTCCCTTTTATCAGATTTTAGCATTATAAAAAGTAAATTTATAGATACACTCGGCATAGCTTAATAAGCAATGAGAGATAAATATAATTAGTGATCTGAAAAGGCACATTTATTGGCATTTAGGAAGGGACCTAGAAGCAATATAAACCTAGAAATAGTAGAAAAAACTATTATGTTTAGGTAAAAATCTATTATGTTTATGTTTATGATAAGGAATGATATAAACTAATTTTTAAAATTAATGTCTTTGTTTTCCAGCTTTGAACAAATGTATGTGTAACAAATAAAACATTGGTCTTTCAATTATTTCAGCATTTTATATAAAAGTGATTTTTAATTGAGTACTTCTGTTATATTATCTCTCCATTTCAGTTTGTGATTGTGGAAAACAATCTAACAACAGAATAAATTATCAATTTCTTTGCTAGAGATAGTCCTTCAAACAGAGTACGTGGATCAACAAGAAAGTAGGGTATCTGGGGGTGTTCAAGTCCCTTTGGCAGGGACCAGGTAAGTTATTAAATTTAGTTACATATATACAGAGAAAAATGCCAAAATGGCTGAAAGTATGGGCCTCTTTTTCAGGTTCCCACTCCTTTAGTCTTTAATAAAGGATCTTTGGGGAAGATATGTCAATATGAAACTCCAGCGTGAAACAACAAAACAATTTATAATGCAGTAAGAAAAAAGATGATGTGATGGTAGTCTGATCTGCTTATCTATGATTTAAAGAGGCAAAAATTGGCCTCTGAACTTTAATGATCATCAGATATATTTGATAATAAACATATACTGTATGTAAAATGCATTTAGACAATATTGTTTACATTTATTCATTTGAAAAATAGATTCACATTAAAAAATGAAAAACCTTAACAGTGGAACATTTTGTGTTTTTATATGATTTAAGTATAATGCCAACCTTGAAGCCAATAAGTAGTAAAGCTTTAAACAAAGAAAAAAAATCACCATAATCTATAAGGCCAGTCAAGTGCAATGGAGAATTCATTTATTAAGAAAAAAACCTATGAATGGTAAAAAGTACTAATATAGAGCTTAATAACAATTTACATATCAATGACAATAATGGATTTTCCATATATTGCTTTTCCTTTTAATCTGAACAATGGTCAATATTCTAAATTCAATGGGTAATTTAAATTTTTTAAGATTAAACTTTTACCAAAAGGTAATAATCTGCTAAATTTTTTTAAGTGCAGGTTTTGTGAAGGCAAAACGTTTTATGATATGTTTAAAGATTATACCCTGACTGAAATGGAAGGAAATGCATTACTTCCTTGCCTTTTGACAATTGTAATATTTTATAACTTTCTAGATAACTCAATGAAAATAATTTATCAATATCCAGAATTAATATTTTAGAGTGAAGTTTCATGGTGAAGAAAAATGCAAAATTTTAATGCAACAATTTCCATATTTTTGCCACCCTGTAGGGTGGAAAAGTGAAAAATTATCAAGCAGGAAGAATATACTAGGTAGATTTTAATTACTAATTTAAATTTTCAGTTACTATCTTGTGACCTGATTCAAAATAATTCTAGCATCTTCCAGAAGTATATGTGATTATAACCTATAAAACAGATTATATCACAAAAAGAAACTTCTTACTTTCATTCCTCTCCATATTTTGGCATGAAATAACTGTGGCTTTTGGAATTATGCTTTACGTTTTTACAAATTAAGGAAGAGTTCTTTATCATTTGTGTTTTAGTAACTCTCTCAGATTTCATCACAATTAAGTCTATTAGAATAAGCTGTGAAGAAATAATTTCACAAACAAATTTTCAAAAGCATACAAGATTATTCCATATGCTGCTGAGATGAGGCACAATAAAGAAGCAATACTGAGATAATCTATGGCTAAAATGATGGTGTATGACTTATGATTAAGCTTCATTACCTGCAGAGCAAGGGGCTTCCATCTCATATTTTTCAGTAAAGCTGGTGCTGAGGTAAGCATGCTCTGAGGTCGCTTTTTCAAAGTTAAGATAACACCACTCGGGTCCTCTCGTAGTGCATTCACCAAATTTTTCAACTGCCACCCCACCTGGTAACCAGCAAAATCATTACAATAAAATTGAGGTACAGTATTCAAAGATTTAATGTTCTCCCCCTTTAATAAGATTTTAAAAAGTCACACAATTGGTGTACCATTCTACCAATTTTCAGGAAATAATACTCAAGAAAGAAATTTTTATCTTTGAATTGATTAACCGTGCTATTGCATTAGAGTCCATATAAATATGAGACAATATAATGGACATTTAACATGTCAAAGCAGAGACTAAAACGGTATCCTACCATTGGACTGATTTAGAATTCGAAGAAATTATGTCACCATTAATGCTGCTCAGCTGCTAGGTGTAGATCCAAGCCATGTTCACAAACACAATTTAAAAATCTACATTCCAGAAAACAAGGATTTGGCAATGCCCTGAACTTACAAACCACACCACATGCTTTCTCATCACCACCTTTTAGATATATGTGGTTACAAGTGTCTCAAAATTAGACTGTCAATGTACTACCAATAGCCGGCACTGACACACCAAGGCAACATTCCAATGCAAGGATGGCAGCATCAATAAAACAAACCTTTTAACATGTTTTAAACATAGAATAAAAATGACACAGAAATGCTATTCCAATGCAGCAGTTATTGGAAATGAGTTCAAAACAACCCTATAAACGTAAAAAACAGTGTGCTAAATTTTATGAAGTCATTCTATTTAACTATCAACTCAAAACATGTTGTATAATTAACCAAATACTTAATAAATGTCTTGAAATCTGGCTCAATAGTTATTCATGTTAAATTACTTCACTCATTATCCTTTTAAGATTTCAAACAGAATAATTTTTGTTAGTTTGCTTTTACAACAGACTACTGATGCAGTATCAGGTATCTGAAGTCTTAGAACTGTACTTTAAAGAAACACACAAAAATCTAATATTCCAATATTTGTTTTAAAATACATTTCACATTGAATACAGACAAGAACCATTTATTACAACTCCAAATGAAGTTAGAATGTTCCAGGGTGTTTTATGCAAATCCTGGATTGCAAACAGGATTCAGAAAATGACCTAAGCAGTGATGTAGTTTCTTCCTAGGCACCCAAGTGAAAAGAGAGTGGGTGTCCTTTGTATGCTATTCATCATGTTTTGTCTGGAAGATATTATTCAAGCTGAAGAGAATGAGCACTTTCGCCAAAAAAAGCAAAGACTCCTAGAGACTATGAAGAAGTAATCTGAAATGCAGCCACTGTGGCATAATGGCAGACTCTTGTGTACATGATGAGTATTCCTTTAAATTATAACCTCAACTATAGCTGGATTGTGTGATGGTAAAGAGATGGAGTCAGAACCAATAAGATGCAAGATGTTATAATGTATAAAACCTCAGGGGTAGGCTGGGTATGGTGGTTTACATCCATAATCCCAATTACTTGGAAATTGGAGGTAGGAGGATGGAAGTCTGAGGCTGGACCCAGGCAAAAGCTGGAGACATTATCTAAAAAATAAACTAAAAGCAAAAGGAATGCGGACATAGCTCAAGTGGTAGAGTGCTTGCCTAGCAAATGTAATGCCCTGAGTTCAATCCCAAGTACTACCCCACCAAAATAAATAAAAAATGAAAAATAAAAACCCTCAGGGGTTTCAGATATGAAACAAAATGATCATTGTGATAATCTGCTAACATGAATAAGAGGCTGCCACTTTTGAAAAACACATTACTGCAGATCAAGTACAGTAATGGAGCCAAATGCCTTGTATCATATATAGCAGGGGACTATTACATATGCAAAGGTATATTATACTTATTCTTATTCCTCTGATATCCCTACAGCTATTTCTACAATGTAAGGATCAAAGCAAGGTAAGTTCAAATCCAGGTGTTTATTTTGCTTGCCAACAATTGAAAGAAAAATTTGAGTTACAAGTCTGAAGGGAGAAAACATGTTGTTTATATAGAGTTTGTGAATAACTTGTTAATGAAAACCACATCTTATTATTTATTTATTCAAATAATTGCTACTTATATTAAGCAGTCAATTGGATGGTTATATCTTTTTTCCAGCATATAAATTATCAACAATGAATTACACATTGGTTTTTATTCATCATTTTTTTCCATTTTACTCTATAGTATGATCACTGTGACTAGTTGAAGATTTTTAAGGATCGTGTTTTCTTGTGAAATGTTCAGTGCACTTTGATTCATCTTGTTCTTAACCACTTTCTATATACTTTTTTGAGTAAATAATTAAAAACAGAATTGTTTTTTACACAAGAAAGTGGAATTTTTTAAAGAAAATTTGGGTGGATTTTAATTTTACAGTAGGATGTTATTTAATGGCAGAAAAATTTAGTAGTTTTTCATCAGCCTTTCTACCACCATTGACATAACATTATCAATTTATATATATTTTTTTATCATACTGGGGTTTGAACTCCATGCTTCACACTTGCTGGGCAGGCACACTACCACATTATCAATGTTTTAAATAAAAAAATACACCAAGAACTGTATACAGTACATATCTTTGGCTCCCAAATTCTACTACACCTACCATGAGGAAATTTAAATGTGCAACATATGTGTCACAGTATTGTTTAAACACATTGCAATTGTACATTTTGTAAATGTCCACTAGTAAGGAATATACAATTTGCTGTGTAGAACAAAAGAAGTTCCAAAATGGCAAATGCAATTCAATTCCATTCTTCTTATAAAATGGATATAAATGGAAAACAGATTCTCACCATTAATAGTGGTTACATTAAAGAGCTAAGAGTGAGTTTCCTGAACTTTTGGCAGTACGCATGAGTTACTTTTATGAACAATAAAATACCAAAATACATGGATTTAGTCTGTAAATAATATTTTATGTAGAATATCATCAATTTTATGAATTAATTAATCAGGACTATTTGTTATGGATGGAAAATTTCCACAAAAAAGCACAGAATTGGAAAGGCAATGCTACTTAAAATACTAAAAGGTGGCAATGGAGAAATCAAATATGTTTGGTGCATTATATTTTTAGATGATTAACAAAGCAAATACAAATTTATTTATTAGGTATGCTCAATAAGTCAAGAACTACAGTATTTGCTGAGTTTTTCATTCAATGGATGATTTCAGTAGATACTCCACTTAAGCATTACTTCAGTTTCTCATAGAAATCACTAAAAGGGAGATGAGTATGGTGGCACATGCCAGTAATCTCTGCTACTCAGGAGTGTCATGAGTAGGAGACCAGTCTGAGAAAACTTAGTAAGATCCTGTCTCAGAAACGAAATACAAGCAAAAGGGTTGGGATGCAGCTCAAGTGATAGAGCACTTGCCTAGCAAGTGGGAGGCCTTATGTGTAATCCCCAGTACCACAAAAAATTACTGTATGGGAATAAAGTCTGCTGAATAATTCAATATATAATGCTTTTCTCACCAAATATAGGTGGGGTTTTAACTATTAAAGTCCCACTTTACAACTTGTGTACACATGAATGGTAACCAGAACTTAGAATTTTCTCATTTAAACAGTTCCATTTTCCTTAGTCCTTCAAACATAATTTTGATCATTTCTAAAATATTTTCTATCTTCATATTGTCTTACATTGTTATACTTAACAATTGTCTTCAAACTCCAGAAAAATGATTCCCGGCCCTTGTTCTGTGATATAATGGGGTGTAATGAATTCTTGAAATAAATTTGTTACCCTTCATCAGTCATTTAGACATTTATTGTGATAGACTATAGAGCACACGAGTAGATGGTGTGATAAAATGAGGCAAATATGTTTTACAACTTAGAAAGGTTGGGAGTCCCCATGATAGGAGCTCATTGTAGTAGTACATACATGTCAAAATATATAAATACATGTTAATGATATTTTAAGATTAAATTTCCATTTTCTCATTTAAGTTTCTGGCTATAGTTTTAAAATATTAAGTGTGATAGACTTGAATTAGAAACTATACAAAATTTAACAGTAATATAAACATATATTTAGTATTTCTAAATTCATAAGTTTTAAATTTAAAAATATTTTAAAGTATGCTTTCCATTGACTGATAAGTTTTTATGTATTAGGAGATGGAGCTTTCAAGGAAGGAAGAAAGAGCTGGAATGGCTACTGATATAAAGAGTATAAGCCACCAATATGGGAAGGATTCAAATAAAGAACAAAATTTAGAGATAACAGGTAATGAATAAATATGAAAAAAATCACTCTAATAATCAAGAAAAGGAGTTGGATTTTGTGAAATAGTGAGTTCAACATCAAGACATGTCTCAATATTCTTGCATAGGCAAATTGATTACAGAACTTACAAAGTCACAATACATCTCAGCTCTAACATGCAGAGTGGGTGGGAACAAGCAAATAGATGATAATGGAGTAGCTTGAATAGAGGAATGTGGTCCTAACTACATCCTTGCCCACTTGTCCTCCTTCTCTTCCTCCTTACAACCAGTAAATGTAGGTGTTTCTTTAATCTAAGTGCTAGACACCTTTCTAATAGTTCATGCTATCTTACAATTATCTCTTCTCTTTCAAAAGCTTCCATTAACAATTTTCTGTATGACTTCAGAGTCTTTCTAACCATTCCTTTCAAGAACTATAGTTATATATTTTAACTATTCAGTATATTGATGCTAATAGCTCTGGGAGAATTAAGTGCTAATAATTCAATGTGATAGATTCTTCATAACTATATCAAATTATTTTATGTTTTCATTCTTACAACAATTCAATGAAGTAAACTATTAAACTGATTCTGCCTATGAAGAAATTGAAGCCAAAAGAGATTGCTTTCTTACCTAAGATTATAAAGATACTAAGTGGCAAAACCAGAATTTATAATCAAGTCTGCTCAGTTCTACAGCACAGCATGTTTGCCCAGATATCCACTGGCAACTCAAATGAAAGCAATTATTTTAAAAATCAAAGTTATTATCTCCTTGCTTTCATTCAATAATAATAATAAAGATTCTCATCATTGTCTCAGGTGAGGAGTTTGGCATCACCTATGACAGTTCC